TTGTTTACCTTTTTCACTGAATAACTCAGTGAGATACCCCTGTTTTAGCAAATGATCAACTTCACCTTGTAGAAACCTGCAATTTGATGTTTTATGCCCATGATCGTTATGAAATTCGCACCAATGATCAGGGTTTCGTCTGTTTGGATTCGATCGCATTTCCTTTGGCCACCGCGCCTTGTCTCCCATGCCTCTTAAAACAGCCACGAGTTTAGAGGTACTTACGTTGAAGTTGTAACCACCGAACCTTGCCTTTAGACTTCCATCATCATCTCGTGACCCGCGTATGTTCCGATCATTCCCGAACCTCGATGAAGAGCCTGAGTCCTTGTTTCTAGGTTTATGATCGTACCTTTGATTTTCTTGTCTTGACCGTGAGTCCTTTCCCGCAGGTCCCATATAAGGCTCGTACCTGTTTGTCCCGGATCTTTTGTCACTTTCCGCGCGCCTTGAGCTTACCTTTTCTTCTGTTTTATGTCGTAAAATAATGTCTTCTTCAATCCTCATTTTTGTACTGTATCTGTTGTAGACGTCATTCCACGTTGTTGCAGGGAATTCTCGAAGGATTTCTTTGAGTCGCCTCGTGGCTTCTGAACTCTTCACATTCAAATTACTAGCAAAGGCTATGGCTGCCCAATTTTCAGGTACTCGTGGCAGTGTCATTCTTTCCCGTTGAAATCTATCTACGAATTCTCTAAGCAACTCTGAATCTCCTTGCTTGATTTTGAAGATGTCTTCCATTCCTTTTTTAACTTTTTGAGCTCCCGAGTGTGCTTTAATAAATAAATCTGCAAGCTCAGCAAACGAATTTATAGAATTTTCAGGTAAAAGAGAATACCATGTTAAGGCCCCTTTAGTGAGTGTTTCACCGAATTTCTTGACCAAGACTAATTCGACTCTTACTTAGTCAAATTATTGCCCTTGACACCTGTTGTAAATGCAGTGACGTGATCTCGTGGATCCGATGTTCCATCGTACTTAGGAATATCAGGCATCTTAAACTTCTTTGGAATTGGGAGGGGGCAGCACTTGGCTTCCATGGTTGTTGGGAATATTTATCTATATCTACTCCCTTGATCACGGGCGGCACTCCAGGTATTTGTTCTATGCGATCATTTTGCTCCTTAAGCTGTTTCTGCAAGGTTAGTACCAGATTTTGTAAATCAGAGCTAACTGGATTACCTGGGTCTCTCTCTTGTGTTTCACTAGGGGTTCCACTGCTGCCTGAATTAACCAAACCTGAACGAGGATTCTCCAAAGTGTTGTTGTTTGGAGTAGATGTGGGTGGAGCAGCAGGTAATTGGCTAACAAAAGCCTGAAGAGCTTTATTGACTTGAGAGGCAATAAGTTTTTGCAAAGCCTCATTCATGATTTCAACATTTTCGAATTGAGCCTGTCCATCTGTGTGAGATCCATCAGGAGTGCCTTCACGAGACCGTCGTGGGGAGCCTCGTGGAGAACCTTGTGGAGAGCCTCGTGGAGAGTCTCCCTGAAGTTGCTGGATTGTTTGAATTTCTGGGTTTCCTTGAGTGTTGTCATTGTTGTTCGACATGATTGATGCAATCAAGAAAATTAGGTTGAGATAGGAAAATTTTATTTTGTGTCTCATACAACTGACAATAGTTGTATGAGGCAACCTTTTTGTCTCACAGTTTTGTGGACCCAGAAGTGTAAGATTGGGGTCCACAAACTTATGAGACAAAAAGGAGCCTCATACAACTAGTGTCAGTTGTATGAGACACAAAATAAAACTTCTCGGTTGAGATATAATTGATTATCAGATTCCCGGTAACGGAACCAATTTGTTTAACCAAAAAATAGAATTTTAGTCAAAGCTAGAAATTAGAAGAATCGGGTTACTGATAATCGAAAAAAGTAAATAAAGAAAGAAATTTTAGAATAGCCAAGTATGAAAGCTGGTAAATCAAAGTATATTCCAATAGTCACCCCCCTTTAACTGATTACATATTCTTCCTTTTATAAGTTCCTTTGAGAACTTCTAGAAACATACGTTACGCCTAAGTCATAATGAGGTTATTACGGGCATTTAATGATATTAAATGTTGCGTTACATAATCATTGTATATATTCCTTAACGGCTTTAATAGTTAATGCCGTATTTCCTCTTTTTCTTTAACCAGGTTCATTCTTCTCTTTGCCCATGTATAAATAAGCTTGAATAGGAACGGTTGAAGTTAAACAGGAACGGGGCGTTGAATCTCTCGTCTCGTGCCTCTTTCTTTTCTTCCTGTAGCTGTTCACAACCTTTGGACTATGACTGTTCATAATTTATTGACCATTCCACGTGTCATGCCACGTCAACATATATATGAATACAATTTTCCCCAATACAGACATACCTTTACGGAGGTAGGTACAGTCAGCTTTTTAAAGGCAACATGCCTTTCAAATGTGTAATGAAGAGGCTTGGTCTGGTCCTCCTCTTTGTAATCTCTTTTGTGATATGAAAATCAACTCAAGGACCCAACTAGGGACTCGAGCATTAATCTAAAAAAAAAGTACTCAATAAAAAATTAAATGTCAGAATATTCAACTCTTATGATCCTAACATGAAATTCATGATTTCTTGCATTTTTAAATAAGTAAAAAATAAATGTGAGTTTAGAAAGTAATTTTCAATAATACTCCACATAGAAAACAAAACTAGTAAAATATATTTTAACAAGTGTTTCTCATAACCAAAAGTATTTGCCCTTATTAGAGGAATTGTTATGCGCTATGGTTTTCCTTATTGACGACTCTAGACTCTTACAAGGGTCGTTTGGTTACAGGGATTGGGGGGTATCTTAATATAAAAGTTGAGAGTAATTTTATCCAACATTTATCGTAAGTATTAGTAACTTAAATCAGGATTCTATATAGGAGGTGAATTATAGTTCTATGATAAGAAATTAAGAATTATAGTCTCATGGGATATCCCAAGAGTGAACCAAACGAGGGGCTATTTGGTTCGCAAGCAAGTTATGTAACAATTATAGTGTGTAATTTAATAATGTAAGGATTAGAAATATAGTGATTATAATGTAAGAATTGTTTATTATTAGATACTTGATGTGTTGTATAAAAAATAGTGATTAGCCGAATGATCAGATATAAATACATCTTATTCAACCTTGGGAAGCAGGTGAGGGAGTTGTTTGTGTATTTTTCTAAGTAGTATTCTTGATGTCATTATTAGGATACCAGTCTTATTTGGTGAGAGTATTTAAACCTATCCTTTTGTGGTTGTGGAAATTACTCTGGAAAAGGTCAGGACAGCAGCACCAAGGACCTAAGTGATGCTGATTTCTGGTTAAGACCAAATGGAGAAGGAAAGAGATAAAAGTCGAAAAAAAAGATGGAATTGCTACATAGGTGTAAGTTAAACGGGTTTTGCACCTCTCTCTCTCTATATATTAACTGAATACAGAGTCTCAAATTTAGTTCCTCAATGATCTCCAATTGTTATAATTTGAGCTTCTGCATTCCTCTTTGCTGAATTTTTTTCTTCTAATTTTTGGACTTAGAGAATGAAAATTACTGTTTTGGTTGAAAATTGTAGTAATTGAAGACAAAAAAAAAAAAAAAAAGATATCTGTTGTGTATGAATTTTTCGTCCTAATTTAGAGATAGCAAATCTCCAAGCTCGGCGCGGGGTCTGTTGATACGACTGTAAACTAATGGTTAGAACCTTATTGTCACTATGCAAGACCAGCCTTTTTATTGTTTGTAGTTGCAACTGAGATTTTGATCTCATATGTCAGCATTCTATTGACTAACAAAAGCGACAACACTATGAGGCCAAAAAAGAAAAGAAAAGAAAGAAAAATAGGACCGTAAAATGTATCTAGTGAAAGGAACTACGCGAATCGGCTGTCAAGTCTTCCCATTCCACAAATTAAAATCCCCTGATTTCGACACAGGACTAACACCTTAGATCAGTGGGATAATTGAGGCTAAGGTTAGCACAACACTTGCCCGGCCCCAAGATAATCCACCATTAGATTACTGAGCAAATAAGTCTCCACTGTTGCCTAGCTCAACCCAAATAGCTGCTACAAATTCAATAATATAACGTTTTCTTTCAAATGTTGCAATGCTAAGATGTACAACACAAAGTAAGAAACTTAAACAGTTTGGTACCTTTGGTCAAGGAAAGTTACTATTTTATCGGTCAATATACCTCTTTATAACAGCATCCCTAAATACCAATAATTCACTATAAAAGCCAAGTTTTCCCCGAACCAAGTTTTATGTTATGTTATAATATATGTTTTCTATAACAACATTTTACTATAACATCTAAAAATATTCGGATAGAGAGATTTGACGGTAATTCAGAAAAAAAAGAAGTTAATTTAACTTTCAATAGAATCCAACTCTCATTTGGATTTTAGAGGACTCCCAAGACCTTTCCATTAACAATAGCTTATATTATTCCAATAGTATTATTTGCAGAATTCCACCCCTAAGTCATGGTTGCACATAAGAGAACAGTAATTCGTCTTTAATGACGTGCGTTTGAGTTTGATTCAATTGTTGACAATTGTTATGGACTTTTACATTTCATTTTGTTATTCATGTTATATTTGTTGACTAGAAAACTTTTCTTAGAGTCTGCTATACTACATGAAAGAATTTTTTTATACTCTGATTGGTATTTTCAAGTTAAAAAGAAAATAACAATGGTATTTACAAGTTAATGACATGTGATTTTTTTCACCTAAATTGGAGGATATATAAGTTCTTTTTATTTGTTTAAACTTTATAAATAAAACTACCTGATACTAATAGTAATGAGAACTAACGTGTATTTAATAACTTAGTTGAGATATATATATATAAGTTGATTTAGCTACACATTATTTTTAATTTTTTTACTCGTAGTAGTAATAATTAGGAGAAATTTGGAAAAATATCACACAGGTCAAGGTTCCAACTCTGACTATAATCTATAATCTATAATTAAAAAAATAAAAAAAGGAGGAGGAAATTTGGTAGGATAGAGTCATTGACGGTGTCATAACCACCTAGACCCCACCAAGAAAACACACTCAAAAACAAAAGCCTTCCATTGAATTTCACGTAAATAAAAGTCTTCTCCTCTTCTTCCTCTTCGTTTCTCTCTTTTTCTTCCACTAATGGCTTCTGATTAGGCGTAAAATTTCCAAACCCTAGCTTTTTGCTCTTCATCTATATCCCATACTTATATACGTATACATAATATAAAAGGGTACTATAGTAAATTGAAGGAATCGAGGCGATTCGAAGGGGATCTGAGGATTTCCCTGGATCTGCTCTAGGGATTCCGGTAAGGCTTGCGAAATTTCTGTTTCATATTTTTTATTTTGATAATTTGATGATCGAATAGAAATTTCATCAGTTTTAAATTGTTGTCGTGTAAATTTGGGGGTTCTTGTAGTTAGGGTATTGACAAAAATTTGGGGGTTGTTTGCTGTTCCCTTATTGATCATTATATTAAGCTTTTTTTCGTTATATTCCTCATAAAGTATGAGGTAAATTAGGTGAAAGAGTTACCTCAGCTTGATAGAGCCTGGCTTAGGGTAGGGTTCGGTTCAATCGAAGTACAAATAGTCATGTATACAAATATTAACCTGGAATATGTGGGTGTACTTGGAAAAATCCAATCCTGTTGATAGGTGTTGCTGCCTGGGAAGAGGAAGGTAGTCAACAACAGTAACTATTACTATTACGCCTTAATCCCAAACAGGTGATTCCGCTATGTGAATCCTCTATATCTGTTTCGCTCTCTTTGAGTCCGTTTCGTTGATGCTAGTTATCCCTCCCCCTTTGATGACTGAGAAATCCGTGTGGGGCCAACCCTTAGGACCAACCGTAGCCTTTGAAACTCCTGGATAATCGGCTTGCCTCTCTATCCTCCCCCACTTAAATGTTGGGTTTAGTTCGCATATGGAAGTGCTTGAACCCGTGACCTAAGTCACAAGTCCCTCAACCTCTGCCACTAGGACTAATAAGCTATGGGTGCATTTATTTTTGTGCTTTTATATGTATATTGTAAATTAACATGTATTCTTCGACTTATTCGAGAGGATTTAGATTCTTGATAATCTTATTTAAATAGGAGTTCGAAGTAAACTTGAGACAAAGGTTTTGGGGCTGAAACGTGGATTTTGCACGCTCAAGCTTTCAGCTGATATATGGATTTTTCACCAAAAAAAAAAAAGAAACGATTGCATTGTGATAAGTATCTACTCAGAGAAGAATTGTCATTTTTCTTCTTCTATTGACAAAGACATTAATCACAGTGGGTATGTGGATGGTGTCTGATACGGGCATCTAAATTTCAGTGTTAGCATGATGAGGGTTGACCTGCCTTGATATTATCTCTTCTACTAAGAAAAACCAATACTTTACCATTTTGAAAGCCTTTGTGCAATGTAATGACTAGATTTGCTTCTGAGTTCTGCTCTTGTTTGTGCATTGCATATTTCCTTGATGTGTAAATGATTGCAGTTTTGTTTTTCCTTTTCTGTTCTCATGTTTTCCTTTTGAGATCTGATTCTGCTATGGTCCTGCAGATTGAATGTGTTGCTTTAAAATTACTTTAAGGGGCCTACTTATATCTGCTTGATATATGATGGCCATTCCAATGGATAACAGTTTAGATCATTCGTCGCGGGAACGCGTTCAGCGCCTCTTCAATAAGGTCGGTATATGCTTTCTTGCCTCAATGATTTACCATTTAAATTATTGATGTCTAGAATGATTTGCACTGTAATAGCCATATAGTGATATGTATTACAGACCCACATACATAGTTTATTAAAATTTTTTTATTGACCCACATACAGAGTTGGAGTGCTGTATGTACAAGTGCACTGAGTTGTGTTCATTTAATGTTTAGAGATAGTAATACATATCTGCTTGTTTGGAACATGTGAGTGACGTTTTTCACTTATTTTATTAAGAATGCGGAGTTGGAGAATAAGCGTAGAAAAGCAGCACAAGCAAGAGTTTCTTCTGACCCGAACGCATGGCAACAAATGCGGGAAAACTATGAAGCTATCATCCTTGAAGATCATGCTTTTTCTGAACAACATGAAATAGAATATGCCTTGTGGCAGTTACATTATAGAAGAATTGAGGAACTCCGTGCACGCTTCAATGCTGCACTAGCTTCAAATGGATCAACCACTTCTCAGAATGGGAAAGGTCCACCTCGCAGTGGGCCAGATAGCATCACAAAGATTCGCACACAGTTAAAGACTTTTCTCTCAGAAGCAACTGGATTTTATCATGATTTGATGGTGAAGATCAGGGCAAAGTATGGCCTGCCACTAGGAGGTTTCTCTGATGATCCAGAGAATCAGATTCCTTCTTTTAAGGATGGCAAAAAACCTATGGAGTTGAAGAAAGGCTTGATATCCTGCCATCGTTGTTTGATTTATCTGGGTGATCTTGCTCGGTACAAAGGCTTATATGGTGAGGGTGAATCTAAAGCTCGCGACTTTGCAGCAGCATCAAGTTATTACCTGCAAGCTTCTTCACTTTGGCCTTCAAGTGGCAATCCTCATCATCAGGTACCTTTTATTTCCTTATTTTTATTGATTTTGTTCTAAAATAATCAGTGAGAAATCTTTAGTTATCCCCAAGAGTTTGAGGGGGGG